CCCCCCGCCCTTCTTTAAATTTAGCAAAAAAGGACAAAAGTTGGCAAGTCTACATGGTGGCATGGTATGAAGCTTCTACCCTGCCAACTCACTCACTCTCTGCAGGGCTAGCCATCAGATGTAAACTGCTAGGCATGAGCTCAGCAAACTGGGAAGAAAAGTTTCCTGAGCATGATCCCATGAATTATTGGCTTTTTACACCAACTTCTACCCTAACAATAGGTTACCTTGGTGTACCTTCGGCACATACAAATCTAACCACAGTCTGTATTGTGGTTACATGCTTCATTTATTACTAAGTTAAATTCTGTTCTCGACTACACTTGTAACTTCAGTTTTGTTGGGATTGCACTGTTGTAGCTGGGAACAGTTTGGCCTTATGTGAGGAAGTTAAACTGTTACGTATCCCTACTACTGTCCATCTTTCTGTGATGAAGATAGGCCAATACATCAAGCCTTACAGGGCAACTACCCAATCCTCTCGGAAAGGCTCTGGATAATTCTCCGAAATACAGGGAGCCCACATTGCACACTGGTACCTGCTGATAGCCTAGAGGGAAAAGAAGACAGGGGCAAGCACTGGGGGAGATGGAATACAGGGCTGTATAAATACTTATAGAAATACACATCAGGGTTCCAAAACCCTGTAGTGTTCTGTTCTTGAGCTCCAAAACCCTGTAATGTTCTGTTCTTGAACTTGGATATCTAAAAGCCTGTCAGCATCTCTCACAATAATACTACTCACAAACGCAATCCTATAGGACACTCATCTGTAGTGTAATACCATCTTCCTAGCAAAAGAGGGTACCCGTGCCTCTAGGATTATTATACCCATTAGGTTTTTGTTTGTTTGTTTGTTTTGTTTTTGAGAAAAGACGAAAAGAAAGCAAGCTTATTGCAGTCTAACAATCTTATCATTGCTTCTGGCAATTCAATCAGACAAAAACCTATCAGTTTGTCTATTGCTTTAGTTCAATGAGAAAGAAATCAGCCCTATCAAGCCCACTGTCCAAAAACATTCCCTTGTGTCCTTGGTGTCTGCAAGACACTAAGTCCTACTGGTTACTCAGGACTTAAGCTTCCACCTCACTTTTGCTCACAAGCTCTATTGGATCTCCCACTTTGGAAAGACAACACAGGACATGTCCAGATTTCTAAAGACTTCACATAAAAAACTCAATACTTGGATTTTTTTTTTTTTCTACTGCATCTTCTTCTGGCAAGGAACAGCATACTCCCAACTGCTCCAGATATCACTATAAATACTTTGACATTTCCAAATAGTTCCTGTTCTTTACTATTGTTTCTCCAGTGCTTAGAAGCCTGTAGAAAGTGCTCAGTACAAAAATAACTCCTATCCCATCAGTTAGTTGCTCTTGTTAAATTTTGTTAAGTATAAAGTTCCTGTAAAAAAAAAAAAAACTACCACAAAAACAGAACTTAAGGGTTGACAGGTACATCTGCTTCTAACTTCCAATTTTTTTTCTAAAACAGCTTGATACTGAAAAAAGTAAGGACTAATATCTTATTATTGAATGATAAAAAAAAAGCAGCCTCAAAGAGCTATTGTGGCCACTAGTAAGTTATTGCTTCCCATTTATACCATACAAGCATCTTAAGGGATACGGGCTCACTGGAACCCAATATACTTTATATTGAATGGAGCTAATACAAGAGGGAGGGGAGGGAATCTTAAGTAGTACTGGTGGAAAAAACGTTCCGGAAACTTTAAGATCAAAGGGATCTCTGCCTTCACATGGAGTACTTTCTAAAAATAAAATACTCAAATTCAGTTTCCCAAGGCTTTTTACTGAGCCAATACTACAGTTCCAGCAACAGTAAATGCATGAAGCAAACACAGGCCCCTAAATCAACACGACCACCAAGAGCATTCAAAAATAGCTTTACATTTACCATGCAAGACAGATTTTGTGTAACAGCCACCACTTCTATGGAAGAGGAGAAACGCATGCATTTACTCTTATGCTGGGTTTTAAGAGCACCTATCCAACAAAGTTGAATGGAAAACGTAAGGAATAGTTAGAGGCTATAAACAGTTAAAACAAAACCAGCCTTTGGTAGATACTGAAAATGCACATATTGCACATGATGTGCCTATACTTGGAAGAGGTTTACCTTCAAGGCTGCAAAGCAGGAAAACTTTGGTGCAAAACTTGCTTAATGATTTTCTTTACCTTGTGGGTTGATACTCTGTGCTGAGCAATTACAGTTAGTTTTTCTAGGAGTCCTCGTAATCTCTCCTGTGTAGCGTGGGAGATCAAGTTCACAACATCAGAGTTAAGTTCCATAATGTCATGCCTTTTACCTGTGGAAGCATAGAAAATCCATTACAGGTTTTAGTAGTAGCTGATAATTGAAATAATTAGCACAGCAGGTATTCTGTTCCCCCTGGAAGTCATACCCATTATGAATAAAGGTTTGGAGATTATGATTTTCCTGGTAAAGTCACAACTTCAAAGATCTTAGACATTACATTAATAAAACTTAGCCTGGAGCTTCAGAAAATATAGACATTGTTTCACTTAGCCTCCAGAACCACTCTCCTTGCAAGGTCATTTATAGGACAAAGTTAATAAGACCACAAATCAAGCTTCATGTTCGGGGAGGGGGAGAAGCGGTAGCTGTAGAAATTAGTGCCATATTCTGTTAATTCCAGTAATTAAAAAAAATAGAGAATTACATTTTGCCCTGCTTGACACCATGCTTGTTAACAACTCATGACATTTATTTGATGAGTGGGGATGGTTTCTGCAGCACACTCTGGGCACATGGGACCCTCTCACCTGCCTCAACCGACCGGCATGGGGCAGACAGACCCAACCATCCCACGGCAGCAGCTCGGACAACCAGACCAAGTCCAGCCAGGGTCATCATGCCATCACCTTCAACCTTTTCTCTTGAGCTGCCGCTGTCTCTCTGCGTTTCAGCAGCTGTGACCGAGGTTGGTGACAGCTCTGGGCAAAGCTGTCCCAGTCCCATGCCCAGAGCGGGGCATCACCTCTGTAACCTTCCTGCGGCTGCAGGCTGCTGACGGAGAAGCCTTCCCATGGTTGACACCATCAATCACTCAATGCAACTCTGTCAAGACACCTGGATGGCAACAACTTCTCCCTGGTAGGCATGGCAGCCAGCAGTTTCACACGCTTCATACGCCGTACACGTCAGAAGCGCTTTTCCTTGCCCCTCACTGCATTTACAGCAGCTGTAATACTTTATGATGCAATATACAGCACGCCTTCAAAACCCGTTTTGGTATTTATTGCCAAGTGGAGTGTTAAGAATGGATAAACAGTACACCGTAAAAAACCTAATCACCTATTTCATTTGCCTTTGCTACTCTAACTGAAAATGAATAACAATCTTGCAAGACAGGGAGAATCCACAATGTTTTCCCAGATACAATCAAAAGTGTTCCCATCGTTTGATCTTGGCCAATAAACATTGGTCTGTACCTTAGCTGAGTGCAAAGCTCATTTTGCCTAAGCACCTTTCAACACTTCCTCAGCAGTTTCCCACTATACTATCATAATACTGAAACATCAACTTAAAGACAAACAAAACCCCCCCAAAACCTCAAGACCTCCCTCCACACACACGTTTCCTAAATCAAAGAGGGCTCAGTTCAAGAGCAGAAGCATTCATTTTCTGAATTGCTGTACTTGCTGACAGTATTCCTTTCCTTGCAATCAAAACACTTTTCATTACCACATTAATTATTATTATTATTATTAATGTGGAATTGCTACCATGCCAGCCAGAAAACAGCCAGGCTTGTATTTTCCATCTTTCAATGAATCGTCTTTACACTCCAAACCAGACAATTATTCTAGAAGTACGTGATGTTTTTGTGGAGCTCTTTATTTTTCCTTATATCTACTTCCCATGGATGACTGGTTAACCCTCTACTGAATTTTGAGAAAAGCTTCTAGGCACCAGTTTCAATGTGTCTTTTCCCCTTTTCCACCAGTAGCACAGCACGCACTTCACTCAGCTATGCCCTATACAGCTCAGATGGCACATCTGGCTAACTAGCACAGGACATATTGAGGTAGCAGATAGCATTTGCAGGTTACATGCTCGTTACAGGCTAGCTGCTTAGTTTGGACTAAGAACAAGTTGCATGTAGAAAGACTTTGCGATCATGCAGTTAAAGCACTGTGACAGAATTATGACCGCACGTACGAACTGCAGGCTTTCTTGAATGCTCAGCTGTAAAACTCACTGTTCCAGTATGGCGAGCTACCAGGCAGAGAGCAGGAGCATGGAGTTGAGCAACATTCATCCAGTTTGCTGTAGACAGCAGTGGTACCAATCAGTGTGGTGCTATACAAATGCATGCTCCCTACTCTGACTTAATACAATACTGCTAAGCAACAGTTATTAATTTGCTCAGAAACTAACAGCCGAGATGGTACATACACTAAAAACTTCATATTACAGTTTAGTCTCAACCATTCAACATGCATTCCACAGTACTATTCACTGATACAAACAACTTTAACATCTCTTTTGCATAAAATTAATGAAAGATTTTTCCATAGAAGGAGTCATAAACAAAGGTCTGCCCTGTGCATATTGGCAGTTTGAAACTTCTTCCTAATCACATAGGCAGGATCTGTAACATTGGTCAATAGAGTACATATATCTGAAAGAGGCTGAGGAATGCAAAAGCTGTTGGGAAAGTCAGTGTAATGCATCAAGTTAGGAGCTGCAGAAATAGAAAAGCACAGTTAAGTGATTTGACAATAGCATCTATATGGTTGTTCTATGTTCCATTAACTTTAAGAGTAATAAAGTTGCTCTGTTCTCATATGTAAAAGCAGCACCAATTTCTTTTCCCTGGTTGTGCTTCAGACTATATCTATGTAAAAAACTTAGAGAACAGTTGCTTCCTAGAAGTGGAAGTAAAAACCCAGTATAGTTTGGTAGAAACACATGAACTGAGATGGCAGATCTTAATAGTTCCAGCTCCTTCTTCAAAGATTGGAGGCTGGTTGAGGAAACAGGCAAGGAAATACTGCATCCATACATATCTGTTACGTATGCTTTGTTCTCACCTATGTTCAAGATCATCTTCTGAAGCGCTTCCGAGGAGAGAAAAGGTTCATCTGCACAAGAGCGGATCACTGTACCAATGAGCTCAGAGTTTGTTGACAAAATGCACGCATTCTCCTCATTAAGATTGACCCCAGCCATAGAAGTCACATCATTTATGTCATCTTCATCTCTATTAAAGAGAAAGACAATGTTTTATGCTTCGTTCAGAATGGGTACAAAGAAAAAGCCTCTTGAGTATCAACAAACAGCCACATTCACTCACATATCTTGGAGGCTACCCCTATACAATAGATGTTTAGTGTGGGCGTGGACAGGGACAGGCGGCTCCTAAAAGCTTTCACACTTCAGTGAAGTGCCTCTCAAACATTAGCTTGACTAATGCTTCAGTTGCTAGGCATGCAAATCCTTTACATGAAACTGAAATTTTGAGCAAGGTTGGAAACCAAGGACTGAGGCAAACCTGGATTAAGAGTCCCCACAAGCCCACCACCCTGCACCTCTGCTCTTACAGCCTGAAATTTGTTCTAAAACTCTAATTCACCAGGTAGAACCAAGTGTTGAACAAAGTTGAATAGTGACTCATTGAACTTATAAACAAGCCCATTTTCTGAGATCCTACAAACTGAAGCTCACAGCACAAGTGTATTAGCACAAACCTGATCTTCACTTTTCTTTTAGTGAGTTCCCTTAAAAAATAAGATACAAAAGCTCCTTGTCAGTAGTACACAGAGCCAACCAGACCTTGCCCTTTGAATCAGTCCTACCATACAGTACTTGTGTACGTAGTGGGGAGGATGCTATGCTTCTGAAGAACAGCGGCAGAGCTCTAGTTCTTAACATCCCTCCATTAGCTGGATTCTGATGTAGCAGCTTTGGTCTGCACGTTCAAAATAAAAACTCAAGTCTGGTGTACTTAGGGCTAACATAACTAAGACTAGCTATAATCATGGCAAAGCTCATGTTAAGCAAATAGCCTGTGTGCCTCAGCTTTTTTTTTTAAAAAAGATCATTTTAGTTAAAATACTGAATTAATTTTATATGGGAAAAGTTTTTGCAGGACTTCAGCAATGAAAATACCCAAGTTATTTTCAATTAAGTTTAGATTATCAAAATAAAGCTTTTTTTTTGCTTTACAAAGTGACAAAGGCCCTAATGGTGGCTTCAAGGGTTAGAACCAGAACACAAGTCAGCATTATTAATACAGACAGGTGGAAGCACTCAATCTGAAGGTCTTTTCATTTGGAAAACAAAAGAAAACAAAGACTAAAAACTGCAGACACACCCCTCCTGAAAAGTATTCACTGGCAAGGTTTGATGAAGTTCATTTTCAGAAAATAGTGTGTGGCCTACATAACTTTTGAACAAGGGGTTAGTCAGAAACTTGCCATTCCTAGGTGAGATGCAATCTCTTGGAGGCTGTCTTCTGACTGGCAACAGGTAGAAGCTGAAGTTGTTAGAACATGAGTTGGGTTTGAGCAATACTCAAAAGACAAAAGAAAGTGTTGGGATTTTTTCTTAAACTATAGATGCATTTTCTCCTTTGGGCTTCACTAGGCTTCTATGGCACAAGTCGTCTCCCACAAACTTCTAGAGAGAAGCCTAGCTAGGAAAGGAGTCCAGCCTTCCCCTACTCCTTCTGCCCTTTGTGTGCTCTCACAGCTAGGAGTTTCTACACAATTTGTTCAGGAAAAGGAGACCCAACAGATTCTCAAACCAGCTTCGTTCATTAAGTCTAACTAGACACAGCTTCTTGACTAGGCTTGTCAAGAATGCTAAGAAAAGCATTAAACCCTCATATTGTGAGAACATTTAAGTGACCACAGTTACACTTCAAAGCTGAAGTCACCACGGCCAGAACAGCTTCCCTCCTTCTACCCATTCACAACCAACAACTGAGCAGTTCCAAGCCTATACTCATGCTCTATCAGCCTAAGAGAGACCCTGATCTTTCAAGAAGCGTGTAAATGAAGCTTCACTGCATGCTAATTGAGTGCTAACTGATCTTCACAAGTACACTCCAGTTTCCTCCTCTTAATGACCACTACAGAGAAGTCTTTGCTGTTGGCAGAGACAGGAATCCAACCAAAGTGCAGTGACTGCCACTAATCTGCTGATAAAGGAGATTATAAAATCAGCACAACTAGCACCAAGAACATACATCACAAGCTATCAGAGCTGCAGATGCTGGAACCTGACATAACCCTGATGGAGCTGTTTATGCAATCCAAGTAAGGATGCTTACACCTCAGGTACAACTGTACAGCACGCAGTTTCAGTAAATCATTTTAGCTTTTAATCTGGCCACATACTCCAAATACTCAAACAAGAAGGAGGTAAAGTTCTATACTATTCGTCTACCCACCTTTCTACATACACATTTCAGTTCTCTAAACCCAGCCTTTATCAGGCTACTATTTTCTTTAATATTTCTATGCACAAAGTCTCTCTTGTGAGTACACACATACAAGGGCTTATATGCAAGTAGACATCTCTACCTGTACTGTTTTTAAGGACCAATTCTAACCTCTTCACTGTGGGATAAGTTTGCATTAAGTCACCGAGTCGCTAGCCTTGATGAAAGACTAATTTGCACCTATTGAAAACACCACTGCACTTATTTTACTTAACCCAAAGAAACTATCATTACTTCTCCTTAGAAGTTGTGCCCGCTAAAGATTAATGTAAGTTTCAGAAGCCACGTTAAGTTTGTACTTTTTACTGTTCTTTTTTCTTTGCTGTTCGAATAAACCTCCATCATTTTAAGTAAGGTATCATGTACTTCAAGCACGCTATAAAAATCATTCTACTAAAGTGATAAATTAAAAATATTCCAGAGTATACATGCAGACATTTCTGTGGGATACAGACTTGCTTTCATTTTCAGCAATCCCTGCGTAAAGCCTCTCTTCTACACCACTTCCTTTAATGTTTTTTGCATTTGATCACGTCACACCCAGGAATCAACAAGAAAAACTCTCCCAGCTGTTATAAGTCTCCAGTGATTTAAGCTTATCAGGACAAGGGGGAAAACAGAACATAGAGTTCTGAGCATTACCCTGCATGAAATCAGGTTTGACATTTATACCGAATATTCCACTGGAAAAAGAAGCCCAAGCAATACAGATGCACCTCACATCTGTGAATTTGCCTGCACTGGCTGAAAAGTGAGTCTGTGGCACCCTCTGGTGTTAAACCAATGCACATGTCTTCTTCTGAATCCGTCTTTATTTACTCCATTTCATACAACAGTCAAAGGGAAAACTAGGAAGGCACACTTAACCCAAACCTCAGTACACCATCACGGACAACTATGTGGGACAGAACAATTCCAGCAGAGTAAGAACCAGCAGCACTCCCCACCATCACGGGACAGGAGAAGCAGCTGCCCAGATGCTCTCCACTCTGCTGTCTCATTCCTGTTTGTCTGTTAGTTGAGATTGCTGGTACCTTCCAGACAAAATGCACAAGTCAGAGTTGTATGTGCTTTGGAGAACCACTCTATTAAACAGAACAGATATAAACCAAATATTTGAAGATGCAAATATGTGTCTTATTTTTTCCAGGGTGCTCTAGCATACACTTTACAGAAGTATATGGAGCAGTTTATAAAAATCTTGATGCTTTTAAAACAGACTACCCTTTACAATACATACCATGGGGCAATCAAGTGCCAGCAAAGCCCATGCTTAGCTTACATAATTTCTAGGGTTTTTTTAATTGGGGGGAGGAGGGGAGGAGGGAGGCAAATCACCATTTTTTCTACTGCTCATCTCAAATGACCTAAAACAGACAAGGTCAAATTGCAGCTTATTAAGTACAGCTTAGTGAGTACTACATTCTCAAATCCTAACCTAACCTAGTCACACAACGGCAGAGGGAGTCAGGCCTGATGACATGCTGCAATGAGAGACCACAGTTTGAAGTGTCATATGTACAATCACATCAATGACAAGACATGCTCTCTGCCCATTACAAATCTCATCACAAAACCTGAAAGGGGGCCATGGTGCTTCTCTCTGCCTCACGCATGATCAGCAGTTGATGGATCACAGGTCATAAAGAATAGCTGTGTTGGGAATACTGAAAGTCAGGACAGAAGAGAGCAAACCACTTCATGGCTTACTGGGGAACATCTATTGCCCAGGCCAGATTAACACTATGTGGTGCTAGACCTGCTCAGAGAACACAGATACTTGACCAAGGGAAGCCAAAAGCTCGGTTACACGCTGCCCAGGTTCAGATACCTGAGAATCAGAGAAGGTTCTCATACGTAGTTTTTAAAGGCAGAAAGTTTGGTTATAGCAGTGAATAGAAGAAGCGCCAGGGGTGTATCCAAAGACGTAAATTCTTCAGACAGGAGACTTACTAGAAAAATTTAAGGCAACTTAGAGATTTCAAATCTGAAGCATGGACTTAAGCTACTTTGAAAATCATAGTCCAAAAAGCAAGAACAGAAATCCATCTTGGATCACACTGTAAAAGCAGAGTTTTTCCTACGCTAAGAATTTAACAATTCTTCAAGAATTCAAACCTTTTCATGTAAGACAGTTAATATATTCCAACGGGAAGACCACAGGGAAAAAAAACCACTGTTTTTATTCTTTTTGGTAGGTGTGTGTTTGTTTGGGTTTTAATTATGGTATTTATTAAGTGATTTTTTTTTCCCCCAAACATCACTGCTCAAAATTACATCCCAAATTATATTCCGAAGTATATTTCATAAGAGCTTGAGGCAGCTGAACAGAGCTATTGCTTTAACATCAGCTTTTCATTTCAATTTCTGGCTATGAGCTTTAAGTGTTTGCTCTATGCTGTACGTTACTGTAAACAGCAACAGCTCTCTGTCTATACCAGTGCACACAAAGCTGTAGCTTTCAAGAAATGAGAAGTCAGCTGGTCAACAGACAAAGGTGTCATGTCTGCTTTTACCCCCAAAGAGCAACTTCAAGCTTGCCTTAAAGTCCTAAGACCAATAATGCTTATGGCAGTCTGTACCTCTGTTCCAACATTACATTTCAGAGCTACAAAACCAATTTCTGCTTTTGAAAAGTTAATCAGTTACCAGAACTAAAAGCTTTAAGCACTCTTGTAATCTGAAGGCCTAGAGAATACGCCAGAAGCCATAATTAGAGGTGTAGTCAAAGACTTTCACCTCTACATACAGGAACAAGCTTATAAGAGGAGCTAATAAAAGACGTCGAAACACTGCACAGAGCTTTAGACAGTCCAAATAACAGTTCAACACTATATGGCCATCTGCAAAAAACCGAGGTTATATCTGCTTTAATCCTATGGAGAGCTTTTAATACAAGGTAATTTTGCTTTAGATTAGTTAATAGTAGTCATAGGATGAAGATCAATATGCCTCCTCTACAAATGAAAAACTGATACATATCGATGCACACTTTATATAATTACACTCTTGTGACAGCACAACAAAAATCCAACATCATCAGGACAGTTTTCTTCTACTAAGAATAATTAACATCTGCTATGAGGTCAAAATTTTTGGGTTCCCCCTTGCCAATTAGTATTACAATGTGAAAAACACCTATCATAAACAAGTTTCTAAAAGAAAGTTGAGAAACTTGCTTTTATTTGTGCTCCATTCCCACCTCTATACTTGCTGTCTGTTCCTTTTGTTCCTTCCTATAGTAAACTTCTGATATTGTTTATTTTTACCTGAAGGATGTTGCTCCATTCTCTTTTATTTTAGCTTTCTGAACAGGAGATGCTTGCAGCGACAGAATTTTATTTCCTGGCAGGGTAATTTGTTTCAGAATAGAACCTGAAACAAAACAAAACAAAACAGAGTAGAAAGCAAAATGACAACTGTTTAATCAGTTCATACTTCTAGCAAAGGCTACCGCAGACTCAATAACAACTATTTAGGTCCACACTCTGGAGTCTGACATTCTGTATGTTCTGTATGGCCAAAACCCCTGCATGCTCTCAGCAAGCATCCTTCTCTGTGCTGACCAGTGAAAGGTTTTAGTGAAAACTGGCTGGCTGAGACAAACTCCCATTATGCATGAACCTGGACCTGTTGAAGGAAAAAGCTAAGTCTCATGAAACGACTCTCAAAGGCATCACGGTTTAAAGGAAGTTCACTGCAAGGAGCTTATTCTCAGTATTTTAACAAGTACAAACATTTGATTGACATGCTTTTAACAGGTGCCAGAAGTAGACCTGGCACTGAGTTTCTCATCAGAACTCTAAGCAGACAGTAAAGATGTCCAACTTACCGCACAGAGCTAGTTGCTCCTGATAGACAACTACCTTCTTACATTCCTACAATCTACCAACAGCCGGCACTTATTTCTATACCTCAGCAGTCCTCTCCCTTCTCCATTAAACAGGTTCCACTTTACCTGCAGGACACTGGTTAGTTTGGACAAGTGTATTCAGCGGCATCCTTTTCTCAGCAGATGACTGTAGGGTCAGTGTTGAGGGTTGTGGGAGTGTGGATACTTGCTTTACAATCGTTCCTGATGGTTGTTGGACTACCTGGAAGTGGAATATCCAATATAAAGAGTGAGAAGAGGTAAACAGAGAAGCAAATAGCATCAACATGTTCATTCAGCCAGAAGTGCTGCTGGGCATGCATGCATGTCTAGCTTTCAGTTTAAAGCAAACAGCATGCTCAGAAAAACATCACTTTTTTTTTTTTTTTTT